CGCAATATTTCCTTTTTAATTGACAATCGCACAAGTATAAACGCTGAGCCTTGAGCAATATTGGTGGGCGTTGTGGATGGGATCGGCCGTTTGGAGCATCGTTTGGCCGCTTTGTCGCCGTTTAAAGTACCGTTAAGGGTGGGCAAGCAGGCAAATTTACAGACAGACAGACCAAAACAGATATGCGCAATATTTCCTTTTTAATTGACAATCGCACAAGTATAAACGCTGAACCTTGAGCAATATTGGTGGGCGTTGTGGATGGGATCGGCCGTTTGGAGCATCGTTTGGCCGCTTTGTCGCCGTTTAAAGTACCGTTAAGGGTGGGCAAACAGGCAAATTTACAGACAGACAGACCAAAATTTTTGCGTCGAAGGTCCTCAAGAAAGACATAGGTCCTCAAGAAAGACTCAAGAAAGACTCAAAATAGACAGAAAGTATTTTTTTTTTTCACTACAGGCATGTCAAGCGGAATAGCGTGTTTTGCACTGTCATGACGATTCCGACACTCTGAAGGAGCCGAGGAAGCACAAACAACGACACGAATACCCAGGTGCGTGTCATGGGATCTGCACCATATTTTTCCTCACCCTCTCTCACTCCCACAAACAAGCAGAACAAGCACGGGTGTGGTGCACTCACGGTGGGCGACATTGTTGATGCAGTCTAGATATGCATTGCCAGATTCATCGTAAGACCCTGGTCAATGCACAATCTTCAGAGGCCCATTGGTCTTGAAGAACACAGTACACGACTTCCTGCAGCACACACAAGCAGCAGAGACAGAGAGAAATACTATCAGTTGAGTCACCATGGAGTGAGCAAAGCAAATTGCACTTGCAGCCTTCAACGCAAATCACTTAGGCTACAAGACTGGCCAAACAGAACAATGTTGAAAGGCTGGAGTCCACCCCAATTTATTTTGTAGCATCAGATTAGACGTTGCAAATATATATCGAAAGTCCCCTCCCCCTCCTCAATCTGTGTTCCCACCAAGACAGGAATTGCCTCCGACAACAAAGCATCACATTGGACTACTTGTCTAAAGGCCGAATTACTCTGAAGCCTAGCAGTTTTCTGCAGACGCATCCCTACTGCCAAAACACCAACGAAGCCCCAGCAAAACCACTTTCTAAGACTGCCAATGTATGATGACACACGGCTACGAAGATCAGTATTTGCCCCAATGCTATTTTGAGAAATAGCTGGAAGTGAACCAACGTAAATGTTCAAGCAAAAAAAGAACAGGCAGTCTTGCAACCTAGACGACAACGCTGAGGGCTGCTGCTCTTTACTGTTTTGTTAATTCGGCAGTACGAGAGGGGAAGCGTGGTGCCGCAGCTGAAAAACAAACTTAGCACAATGCCTTGTAGTGCCCTTGGCTAGAACAATGAACCTTTGTGCACAACAGCACAACGGCTGAAAAACTCAATCATACATTGCCATTCGAGCACAGACACAAAAGTTACGAGGCAGGAAAGCAAAAAATAGGAGGCAAGAAAAAGAAATGAGTCGCAGACCTCGTCGGCAGGCAAAACTGTCACGCCGACCTGGCTGCAACGGCAGGGAGGAATCCGGGCAGTTTGGGAAGGGCGAGGATATGCAAACTGGAAGGTATACAACTTTAATCCACAAGCCACACACACACACACACAACACAACCACACGCACTTGAATGAAGAGCACTTTCTAGACCACTCACAACAAAATCCATTCACACAATCTTTTGTGCAACACTCGCTCTCTCAAACAGCACACCTGCATCCTTGCCTTAAGGTGCAAGGGCGACCTCACGCTGGATACACTAAAATGAATCAAAGGAGGAGCAAAGAGATCATTACCTTCCCCTCTTTTCTGCCGTGTCAATACGCATTTACCATCGGGAAGTGCAGGCCACACCCGCTGCTCAACAAGCGGGGTGCCCACCTTTTTTTCCTCACGGTGGATCCCTAGGCATCACAAGAGATCTGATCACACGGAGGGCTACAGCTATCTCCGAGTTCATTCTGCACGGGAGTTCTCCCAGAGTAGTCCGAGTCCTCTGGCCATGGACGGTTGGCAGAGCACTGCCTCTGGCTGTTTCGGTCAGCCTAGAGAGCATCCACTCTATCTCTCTTTTGTCCACCATGTGCTAGCACTACATTCCCTAGCTCTCCCAAAGTTCGGCACACTGCAAGCAGCCGAGCAGGATATCTGTCCATGAAACACCTGCGGCGACAGTAAGGGCTGCTGTCGAATCGGTGCTGGATGCTGCTGGCAGCAGCAGCGGTCTTTGAGGTGGTTAGGGCTTGGGCGCCTAAAAGGAAACTAAAAGAGGTGAGGCGGATTAGTACGTGTAGCCAGGACGGACCAGGGGCTCGTATTTTTTACAGACACACACACACACACACACACACACACACACACACACACACACGCACGCACACACACACACGCAGGAGTAAACACGAAGACAAGACGATGTCGCCAGGACTGTGATTGGCCCTGTTTAGACCTCCAAGCCATCAAAGAATTTTGCACAGTGGGGCCACGTAAAAACTATATAGCGCTGAAAAGAAGACCAACATAAAGGTTGTATATCATCTGGCTCCGAATATGAAAAGCCTTGCCCCAATCAATTTAGGTGAATATATATATATATATATATATATATATATATATATATATATATATATATATATATATATATATATATATATATATATATATATATATATATATATATATATATATATATATATATATATATATATATATATATATATATTTATATATATATATATATATCTCACGTTCTAACGGTACCAATGTCACTTCAGGTGCCTTGTGGGGCTAACTAATGTCTCTAGAAATCTAGCGCTTTGGGATAACTTAAATCTCTTCGGCTGGCATTCTATTACTCAGTTACAAGCAGCCTAAATTGAGCATCTAAAGAGAAAATTTGCGCAACTTCCTAATTGACTGAATAAATGTTGCGATATGTCGTGTAAGCAATATATACACCTATATTAATGTTCTCAGGGAAAATGAGATGCGTTCCATGCAATTAAAAAAAAAAATCTCGGATTCCACTAACCTAAACTAACACGGAAAGAAGCACGTGTTTTGTATTGGCCATGTCGCTTTGTGCTGGAACGCAGGTCTGTGTAATAAGCTCTGCTGAACGGCCGTGCGTGGCGTCTCCTAGGTAAATACGTAAACTTAGAACGTAGAGACATATATAGACAACCGAGAACGCACATCAAATATACCTTCAAACACGCCGAATACCAATGATTACAAATCATCAGCAACGAAAAAAAAAATCCACATCAATGCTGATTGCTGCAGCAAATGTTCGCACATTTTTTTTTTTCGAAGCGAGCCTTACTTAGCAAACATGTTAACAGCAGAGCGCTCGACCAAAATGCTTATTTGCCGTAAGACGACTTTATGTGATATATGAAGCGATATCGCAAATCAATCGACCTAAATATATAGTACTTGTCAAATGCAAGATTGGGGAGGCTAAAAACAAAGGCTGCGTTGTTGGCAGCCTCATGCAGACACCACATTGTCTGCATGAGGCTACCGATACCGTGATGCAACCGCAAATTAGGTAGTGTTAAATAATGGCGAACAATGGTGGCTCCTATAATATACGCGCAGGCTGGCTAGCATCTACGTATTAACGCTGCTTCGCAGTCACTCACAACGAAATCAAAGGTAATGACATTTCCATTTCGTGCAATGGTGAATGGGCCACCGGTTGGCCCTGCATGAGGAAACGCGTTTACGCACAAGGCCATTCTATACGCTGCAGAGAATATGCAGTGGAAGGAATTACTTTGATTCTTTCAACACCAAGTTATGCTATCAGCGTCCCTCTTCACGACAGTGATCACGCGTTACGCACGAGCTTTGCTTGTGCCCTGATCGCTTTCAAAGAACGGAGAGCGCGCATGAATGGCTTAGTACATCGGATTGCTGTCCGCTAATCGCGACGACGAAGGCAGGAAATCGATCGGCGAGGCGGCACTCGAACGAAGTATGAGGGCGCCTGCACTTGACGCGGAGGCCGGGTGCAGCGATAAGCCGCGGGCGAGATGTCAGAGCTTTGAGACAGCCAGCTCATAAGTCCCTGGAATTCGTTAAGCCGACGCTCAACATTTCCAAAAGGGGGCCCGCCGCCAAAGGCATCCCCCGCAGCAGTCAGCTGTGAATCGTGCGCGATAAGACGTCCAGAAACCGGCCCCGACGGCACAAGTAAGTACGTCCTTCGCGGTGTCCCGACGGGTCGCACACACCCCCCGTGAGCGAGTAACACGCCTTCCAACACGCTATCGCCACGTGCACAGCACATGGCCGCCCGCCGCGCCCCCAGATCGTCATCGCACCGGCCGCGTTTCCTTTTCTTGGGACTTGTGCCAACGCACGCTCCGGAAAACAAATAAAGGAGAAATAGCAGAAAAGAAAGCGCGGCATAGCCAACGTGGCGCGCTGACCCGGCGTTGCCAAGGCGGTTTTGACTGGATTCAACCCGCCGCCTATATGAAGACACGTGCCGCTGCTGCGGGCACTGTGCTTACGCTCGAGTAGTCTAGGCATCGTCGACACGTAGTAAAATAGCGTTCGGTGTGTGTTTTTACTTTTCTCCTTATCATATCAATTTACTTTTCCCAATCGCCCTCCTGTGCAGAGTGCCGTGCATGTTGAGCAGCATTAATGTGCGAGGCGATTGCTGCATTGGCATCTGAGCCCTCCGAAACTGCGCGCGCCCGACAACTGCCGGCAGAGAGAAGTTAAACGGAGAGTGGGGAAGGAAAACGTGAGAAAGAGTCAGGAAATGCTCTCTCCTGCAAGTGGTGCAGGGTTGCTGCAGTCAAACAGCTGTCCTCTCTCTCTAGAAAGAGCGCAGCGACGTCATGGCAGTAGGACGATGCGATTGGCCATTCTAACAAACAGCAGGCCGGGTCGACCAATTAGACGACGTACACAATGGAGGCAAGGTCCCATTATAAGCGGGCAGTGCGGTTTTGGCTAGCGAGGTTGTGGCCGCGGTGCATCGGGCGGTTGTTGCTGGGGGACGTCACCTTGCCAGTGCTGTTGCCGAGCAGGTAGTGCAGCGCGCACATTACTCGCCTACTTTCGGTTTTTAGTCCAGTCATCAGTCTCTCGCATCGCTCGCACGCACGCCCAACCAAGCCGTAATGGAGACCGCCTCGCTCGAGAAAATTAGCAAAGAGGAAACCATCCGTCTTCGTGACATGTATATCGGGTGAGTTCGCACTGCTTTGTGCACTGGATGCGCGTTGGCTTTTTTCTGCCGATATGCTCATCAGGCGCCTTGGAAGGCTTTGTGCTTGACGCAGGGATTGCGCGGATGCCGGCACAAAATTTGTGTTCATTGACCCTCGCGTCGCTGTTTTGGCGACCTTGACTCTCCTGCCGCCGGTAGCGGTTCATTCTCAGTTTGGTTTCAAGGGTCGAAAGAACAAATACGTGGGGCTGCAAACACTTTCACCGTTCATTCGGTGAACGCGTTTTTCAAACGCGTGTGCGCATGTTTTTTAGACAATCTCGAAATTAGTTCGCTTCAGCGCACATTTTGCTCTAGTGTGGCACACAGCCAGTATACTTTTTGGCCTGACGTCTTGTGCGCTGTCACACTGCAGGTTTTGAACGTACTTTGGCTACCTAGCCAAGCAAAGCATTCGGCGGCGGGGTCGTAGTTTCAAAGAGTCCGCGGTGATAAACAGTAATACATACATTCAGGCGTATTTATGCATGACCACATAAGCAGTGAACTCGGTGTCGACAGCGTTTCACAGTGGGTGATGAGGTTGCATACTGATGGTAGGGACGTGTTTCTGCCTAAAAGAACGAGCAGAAGTGTGATCGGGCCGTTACATACTACTATACCATTCATCGCCTAGTTTTTTTAACTCTTTTGGTTTAGCGGCGCATTTTTTGTATTAAAAATATATAACGCGCTTGGCGCTCGTGGTTATCGTTGAAACTTACGCTTGGTCGGCGTCGCTGCAATGAAAGATCGACTAGCTGCTACGCGTGTCCTTCATGGTTGAGGCTTTGACCGCAGTTGCCTATATTTGGCGCTGAACACCCTATAAAACGTCACACATGCTGTGTAGGTATTAGTTGAAATCTATGGGGCAGCTAATCAGTCACCTACGGCATCCCCTGCGTGGTCCTTGATTCAAGCAACATTATATTTTGGTAATTCAGCACTCGAATTGTCAGGCTTTACAAGCTCTCCTCGAAAATCGCCGGTAATCCAAATATATGGGGTGACAAGAAGCACTTTCGTTAACTGAGCTCAGAACTGACCTCTGAAAATATTGAACAGTTGCGAGCTTCGTAAAGCATGTTGCATTTCAGTGCTGAAATGTCTGAAGCCCTGTGGTTCTTGTCTTGACTTCGTGGCCATCTAAAAAGAGGTATGATAGGTGGGCATTATGCAATTTTCACTGTAGGAATTCCCTTGTCCGACACGCTTCTGAAAAGGAGAGAACGGTGTCAAAGGTTCTTTTTGATTTCTTGCTGTTAAGATAACTCAATGGGTGGATATCGACAACTTTCACCTGTTGCGCAACACATTAGGCCATCAATGCTCTCTTTAACAGTGTCCTGAAGAACGGTGTCTTGTTGCAAATGAAGCAATTATCATGTATTGGTTACACATCAAAAGTATGACCCATTATGCAAATAGCTCCTATTTGCACTGAAACCTGACCTATGTATCATCTGAATGCCATGATATGTGAAAACCTGGGGGTATTGCTTTCCTGTGAAATTCTTATCTGATGGCAGAACATTGTCCACCTTTCGCTAGAGCACTATATCGGTAAATCTCAACTGTAATAATTTGTGCTGGCCCGCTCCTTCATTCCTTTTAATGGCACAGCGTGGAGCTTGTCACTCACATTTGCATAATCAGGGCAGTTGAGGTTTGCATGCATAAAAAGAGCAGTCATTATTAGCATGTCTAGAATGAGGCCAGTTTGCTTCATTTTCGACAGTGACTCTAGAAAGCTAAAAAGTACTTGCTAGGCACTGCTGCACACCTTAGCTCTTGAGGAAAGGTGTTCCACTTCTTTCTTTACTACACCAGCACAGCCTCTACTTTAATCTTGCACTTGCATGAGATAGTAGCGCTTGCCTCTTCAGAACTCAAAATATTGCCATTTTTTTTCTCGCTCGGGTTCTGTATATGAATTGAGCAGTCTCTGTAATCAGTGATGGCACTAAGCAAGTCGAGCCATAATTTCTTGCCTTTTCAGGCGTGTCAAACGTGTTTATTCGAGCACCATTAACTTGATTGGGGCAGGGCTTTTCATATTCAGAGCCAGATGATATACAACCTTTATGTTGGTCTTCTTTTGAGTTCTAGTTTCTACATGGCCCCACTGTGCAAACTTCTTTGATGGCTTGGAGGTCTAGACAGGGCCAACCACAGTCCTGGTGCCTTCGCCTTGTCTTCGTGTGTGCTCCTGCGTGCGTGCGTGTGTGTGTGTGTCTGTAAAAAAGACGAGCCCCTGGTCCGTCCTGGCTACACGTACTAATCCGCCTCACCTCTTTTAGTTTCCTTTTAGGCGCCCAAGCCCTAACCACCTCAAAGACCGCTGCTGCTGCCAGCAGCATCCAGCACCGATTCGACAGCAGCCCTTACTGTCGCCGCAGGTGTTTCATGGACAGATATCCTGCTCGGCTGCTTGCAGTGTCCCGAACTTTGGGAGAGCTAGAGAATGTAGTGCTAGCACATGGTGGACAGGTGGACAAAGGAGAGATACAGAGTGCATGCTCTCTAGGCTGACCGAAACAGCCAGAGGCAGTGCTCTGCCAACCGTCCATGGCCAGAGGAGACCCGCTCGGACTACTCTGGGAGAACTCCCGTGCACAATGAACTCGGAGATAGCTGTAGCCCTCCGTGTGATCAGATCTCTTGTGATGCCTAGAGATCCACCGTGAGGAAAAAAAGGTGGGCACCCCGCTTGTTGAGCAGCGGGTGTGGCCTGCACTTCCCGATGGTAAATGCGTATTGACACGGCAGAAAAGAGGGGAAGGTAATGATCTCTTTGCTCCTCCTTTGATTCATTTTGGTGTATCCAGCGTGAGGTCGCCCTTGCACCTTAAGGCAAGGATGCAGGTGTGCTGTTTGAGAGAGCAAGTGTTGCACAAAAGATTGTGTGAATGGATTTTGTTGTGAGTGGTCTAGAAAGTGCTCTTCATTCAAGTGCGTGTGGTTGTGTTGTGTGTGTGTGTGTGTGTGTGTGTGTGTGTGTGTGTGGGGCTTGTGGATGAAAGTTGTATACCTTCCAGTTTGCATATCCTCGCCCTTCCCAAACTGCCCGGATTCCTCCCTGCCGTTGCAGCCAGGTCGGCGTGACAGTTTTGCCTGCCGACGAGGTCTGCGACTCATTTCTTTTTCTTGCCTCCTATTTTTTGCTTTCCTGCCTCGTAACTTTTGTGTCTGTGCTCGAATGGCAATGTATGATTGAGTTTTTCGGCCGTTGTGCTGTTGTGCACAAAGGTTCGCTGTTCTAGCCAAGGGCACTACAAGGAATTGTGCTAAGTTTGTTTTTCAGCTCGCGGCACCCCCCTTCCCCTCTCGTACTGCCGAATTAACAAAACACTAAGAGCAGCAACCCTCAGCGTTGTCGTCTAGGTTGCAAGACTGCCTGTTCTTTTTTTGCTTGAACATTTGCGTTGGTTCACTGCCAGCTATTTCTCAAAATAGCTATGGGGCAAATACTGATCTTCGTAGCCGTCTGTCATCATACATTGGCAGTCTTAGAAAGTGGTTTCGCTGGGGCTTCAAGTTTCTGTGGGTGTTTTGGCAGTAGGGATGCGTCTGCAGAAAACTGTCAGGTTTCAGAGTAATTCAGCCTTTAGACAAGTATTCCAATGTGATGCTCTGTTGTTGGAGGAAATTCCTGTCTTAGTGGGAACACAAATTGAGGAGTAAGGGACTTTCGATATATATGCTATGTCCAATCTCGTGCTACAAAATCAATTGGGGTGGACTCCAGCGTTTCAACATTGTCCTGTTTGGCCAGTCTTGTAGCCTAAGTGATTTGCGTTGAGGGCTGCAAGTGCAATTTGCTTTCCTCACTCCATGGTGACTCAAGTGATAGTATTTGTCTCTCTCTGCTGCCTGTGTGTGCTGCAGGAAGTCGTGTACTGTGTTCTTCAAGAGCAATGGGCCCCTGAAGATTGTGCGTGGCCAGGGCCAATACATGTATGATGAATCTGGCAATGCATATCTAGACTGCATCAACAATGTCGCCCATGGTGAGTGCACCACACCCGTTCCTGTTCCGCTTGTTTGTGGGAGTGAGAGAGGGTGGGGGAAAATATGGTGCAGATCCCATGACATGCATTTGGGTATTCGTGTCGCTGTTTGTGGTTCCTCGGCTCCTTCAGAGTGTCGGAATCGTCATGACTGTGCAAAACATGCTATTCAGCTTGACATGCGTGAAGTGAAAAAAAAAATCCTTAAGAAAACAAAACAAAAGCCAGAATGCCAATTCAGAGAACTTATGACTGTACTATTTTTAGGTGTTTTATTATGTCCTCTCTTAACCTGGCAACATATTCTCTATCCTTCGAAGTTGCAACAGTAGCTGATAATAAATTTTGGGGCTGTAATAACCATGGAACTTCCTGAGGCAGTTGAAGGAAACTGTAGCTCAGGATTCCACGACATTGCAACTCCGCACTTGGAAAAATGTCAAAGCATGAGTTATGTTCCGAGCAAAGCATGTGCAAGTAAGCGCGCTCCCTGTGTATTCATCTGTTTGCAGTGGGGCACTGCCACCCACACGTGGTCAAGGCTGGTGCAGAGCAGATGGCGCTGCTTAGCACCAACAGTCGCTACCGAAATGTTTGTATTCAACTCTACGTACTCCTTCGCTGCTGTCAGCATCTGGTCTGCCTTGGCCCAATTGTTAGCCCTGTATATTTTAAAATTTTAATTAGTGGGCTTGTTGGGATGCCGTAAGCACTGGCGACGTATGGGTTAATTTCCCCACATTCGACTCCATTGATTATCTCCTCGCTTTGCACAGAACAGCAGGTTGTTCTTAAGAGTGTATGGCAGCACGCAACACAGTGAAAGGGCAATAGGGAAGTAAACAAGGGGATAACGAGGCCCTTGCTTTGTGATTTTGTTTTGGCTTGACTTTTCACCCGGTGTGCACTCTTATACACTACAATGATCAACCAAGTTGCCCACTGGCACATTTAAGCAGGTTCTTCTGTGTTACGGCTTTCATAGTGTTGGCAAAACTAGTGGAGAGGAGAATAGGAACAGTGACCTTGTACGACAGGCCGGTGGTGCAACGATGAGAAACCGTGGGGCGAAAAGCGCATGATAGCAAGTGGTAGTGCAGCTCGCCCGGCGCATCATTCTCTGAAGAACGTCTCTCTGTCTCCCAAATGCATGCAGGAAAGTCTCCTTCCATGGGGAAAAATCAAATGTTTGTGAAACGAAAGCGAACTTGTTGGGGGTGTTGTCTGCTGCCTTGCTAATGGGGCATGCACTGAGCCTTGATCTGCAAGAGGGCAACACCATAGCCACGTCATTTCGAAGGGCCATTCGTACGTGCTGTCCGGCTGTCCATCTTTCGGCATGCAGAAAGCGTTCCGGAGGCTTTTAAGCATCACAGTTGCTGTGCAGATTTTGAACACACTGCGTGCAGCAAATTTTATGCATGTGCGGCAAGCACGCAGACCTTCAAAATGTCTGCCCCGACGCTAGCGATCCTTGCGGATGACGTCAAGTGCGTACCGCCCCATGTCAAGTGCTCCGGCTGCTTTTGTTCAATGTAGCCGTAAATTTTTCTATGCTTTGACATTAAAGCACTCGCATTTTTGAAAATGGTTCGATATACAGGATAATCAGATCTACCAGAGTTCAATATAGTCGAGTTAGGCTGCATTATATGATGCGTTCGTCTGAATACTATAGTTAGAGACAATTTGAGAAGTTTGGAGATGCCATTCGTTTCAGATAACGGAAATGCGGCAGTCTATTGCATGGGTGGCCAAAGAAAATGGTTTTAGTGATGCACTTCGCAGGGTTCTTCAAAAGTGGTTTCAGTGGCTGTCTGGCTTGTGACGTCAGTTCAGATGGCTGCAGGGTTGTGTGCATCTGCATTTGAAGAGGAAATGTTGCAGATCTCTAATTTTCTATTCGATTGTAGTTTCTGTACACAAGGACTGGACGCTACCTTGATTTGTGATTGAGTTCCGGTGTGAATGCCACTTGTAAGCGTAGCCAGTGGAACTGAGAGCAGAGCTGATGTTTTCTTTACTCTTTCTTTTTTTTTTTTTGAAGCTGCACATTTTTTTTTTGTGTGGTATTGCTTTTTTTTTTTACTAAAAAGAATGGGATCACTGCAAAACTTTGTGAAAGTGCTTTGCTTTTTGTTGAACATTTTCACTGCATAGTGCTGCTACAATGGCATGTTTTGTTGCCAAACAAAGCTTTGGCATGGAGTTTGAAAGTTATGCCATAGCTGATTGGATCTGGAAAAAAGTTTGCTCTAGCAGCAATTTTAATTACATGCAAGAGTTCGAGAGTATGTAGCAGACTGAATAAATCTATATACAGTAGACTCTTAGTAAACGGCAATCTGTTAAACCGAACTGCTGCTTAAACGCAACTCTTACCTCTGCAATGCTTGGTTTCGGCTAGTATTCTGTACCTCTGATCACCTCTCGGTAAACGAAACTTCTGTTGAATGGAACATAGTTTCCAGATCCCTTCAGGTTCCGTTTACCGAGTCTACTGTATATATGATATATATAATATAGGACTTGAAGGGACACTAAAGTCAAATAACAATTTGCATCAAAGGGAAAGCTGAATGTATGACAACATGTAAAAGGACAATATTATCAACAACAGTGCCCTGCTTACTGAGAAATTAAGGTAAATGCAGAAGAGCGCAAGCGCCCCTCTAGCGCATTTTCAAAATGATCTCTATGACTTCAGATAGACCGCCTACAATTAATCGTTACTACTCGACCTAACTGCACTGAATATAGAGCCTTCTGTGCATCAAGAGACTCGATAAAATGCTTCTTGTTCGTTTCTGTTTGATTCACGAAAAAAAGAAATGCTGGACGTTACTATGCGGAATGGCGCAAGTTGTTCAAAAATTCAATTTTCACATGGTTGAACAAAGCAGGTGGTGCCATCTGATGGGGCGCAGTTGAAACAAAAACGTCTGCAATCTCCGAGCCAATGGCGGGACATTGATCAATGGCCGTTGTTGCTGCTGTAGCTCCCGCTGCTTTCGGTCTGCTGCTACTAGCGCAGTAAAGCCGGGCAATGTTGTGCAGGGCAACAGTTACGTGAGGCGTTCCGATTGGTCCGCTTCTTGAGGCGGGTAGTTTGAAGTGTGCTAACCTGATTAGGACCACTAAAACGTGTTTTATTTCAAAATAGGCCCTACCTTGGCACAAAAGTAAAACTAGGACGTTTCTGGACCGCTATTTCAACAATCAATGTTAACTTAATAGTTGCCTCTAGTGTCCCTTTAATTAGAACTAGTGGTTATGCTTCTCAGCATGACAATTTAAAAAAAATATGCTTCCATCAAGTCTAACCCTATCGGTAGGTACCTGTATATTCATAAGGTACCCAATTGTTATTCTTTCAATGCCTCTGTATTGGCTGCCGCTGTTAGCGCTCCACGTTGCTTTTTTTTTATGCTCTGCAGGTCTGAGGCAAACGACCTTGCCATGAGGCTGGCAAAGTGCTACACAAAGAACAAAGACATCATTTGCCTCGACAGGTATGGACAGACTGCTCTATACCTCGGGGAAGGGGAGGTTGAATAGTGGCTTATTGCCAGTCGCAAGGGCTCTTCAGTGGGGCTGATTGGTTCACGAATGTTGTGGCAGAAAAGTGCCGAAAACAGGACAAAGACCATGCATGATGCAGCACTGTCCCGTTTTTCGCACTGTTCTGCTGCAGTATTATCTTAATGCGAGATGGAATCGCTTATGATGGGAGGTGTTGTGGACGCAGTGAGAGCATGCTATGCAAACCACACCCTATCAGATGAATATCACATGGGACTGAGTGCGAAGGACCAGCTACAGAGAACGGGTCTATTGAGCTAACATGTAGCCATGCGTACCCGCGTGCCTTAATCCTTAACTCGTTAAACAGTTGTCATTCGTCTGTTTGTTTGTGTGCTCTGTTCTCGACCAAGACATAGATATGTTGATACCAAAGCCATCGCCATTCCTTTTTTTTTTCTGTGATTCATATTCCGGCACACTTCGGAAGAGTCTTGATTAGATTACTATTCGAGGACCGTTAACAGGAGCTCATGTTTGCATTGCTGTTAATGTTTGGAAGCTGGTGTTCGGGTTACGGATAGTCTTTCGTTTTTCGCGAACACATTTTATTGTTGAGATGCCGCAGATCTTTCATTGTATGTGCCACTTGCAGATTTTGGCCTCGGGCATGGAAAAAAAAAATGAAGGAAAAGATGGGACGACTGACTTAGGGGGAAAAATTGCTTACCTTGGACATTAGCTTTCATAGTGAAAGTGTTGGTGCAATTTGAATTTTATTAGAAACAAATATGACATGTACGGGTTGCAGCTGAGTTTTAACTGAGCCTACTTGAACAAAAGTGTCTTCGGTGCTATTTGGTGCTTCCTCCTTTTTCTTTTCTTCTTCGACGTTTTATTGACTTTCTTCAAGTTCAAGCAATGGCACTAAATTTGATACCTATAACAGTGTGCTGTTGCCAATGCTGCCAACACAGTGTCGGTGTTGTGTTCTAATCCAATGCGCAGGAAAATTTCAGGCCCGTTTTATGGGGGGAAATGTTGCACATGAGATTTCGGCACCCGTAACCATTGACTTGCAGGGGTAAGAAAATGGTAAAATGGTAGGTCTCTGCAAATCGCAGAAGTACTTCTGCTATAAATGTGCTGACTCAATTACTTGGAGCAGAAACAACCTTTGTGTAGCCAAGGTGGCCTCATGTTCAACGGATTTAGTCATTCAAGTGTTCACATATTTCTGGTTCTCTTCTTTTTTTCACAGTGCTTATCATGGCCACCTGCAATCCACTACAGCCATCAGTCCATACAAGTTCAACCACATAATTGGCTGGCAGAAGAAAAAATCTGTTCATGTGGTGAGTTACCTTGTAAACAAAGGTCTATTGTCTGTGCAGCTGTGTACATGTGGACCATACGAACAGCCAGGTTTTTCTCTGCCAGTTGACACCTTGTGGCAGTTTCGAGCTCTGACGTAGTGTGTCTGGAGCATGCGTAGTCGAATACCGTAAAAATGAGAATACACATCGAAATAAAAAAAAAAAAAACTATGAAAAGTCGACCCTCATCTTATATACCGGTCATTGGCTGAAAAAAATGTGGAAGTCTCACAACAATCTGAAAGCCTTCATTGCCATCGTGAGCATTAGCAGCTGCGCCTTTGGGCAAGGCTAGGCAAGGACTACAGTGTTCTAGCAACTCCATTTCACCTCGGTTGTCTGCTGTCAGTCTGTCATTTTCTTTTTTTTTTTTATTTCCTTCAGGAATGGTAGTTGACGGCAGTTTGTGATAGGTTTTGAGAAAAAAGTTGTTAGACTATGCCGAAGTGCACGGCAACCTGGCAATACAGCGGCTATTCAGTGCATCGGAGAAAAGCGTCCGATACTGGAGAAGCCAAAAGCAGCGCATTACATCGTGCAGCAACCAAAAAAAAGATTGTTTCAGGGACGCACGTCGGTGCACCCCGAACTGGAAACACTGCTTGTCGAATTCGTCCGGGAGCACGGGAAATCTCTGGAGAGCGTGCTACTCTAAGCACACGAGGGTGCAATTCAAGGCATCTCCATCATGGGTGCGCAGATTTATGAAGGGAAAGGGCTTCGCGCTGAGGCGGCATAGGTCAGTCTTTCCGCAAATGCTGCATCAGTAACGCATTCAATGGATCCGTGGACGATGCACTCGGGGGCATTACTATTGAGAAACAGACTCGAGTTCGGACGAGTCTGAGTGACAGCACTTTGTGGCCTTCTGGCATGTAACTACATAAGATTAGTATCCTAATAAAAGAAACGTCGCCACAGTGCAGCTGGCTGTGTGACGTATGAATCAAGGAAAAAGTGCGCTGCAATACTTTGATTTTTTTCAAATTTATTTTTCGGAGATATAAAGTTTGGGGTAGTCAACCTGTATTTCGGTCCGACCTATTATTGCTGACCACGTCGGAGCCAGCAATTCCTATACAAGGTGTCATCCTGCAGAGTTGAAATTGCCTGCTTGATAGTTCCACGCAGGCCTGGAGACGGCTATACACTGCATTTAGTCTTGCTACTGGTCTGCTGAAACTGTGTTTACATTGCTTTTTTTTTGCAATAATATTTTAGTATGGTTAGAGAAAATGTTGTCTTTGTACAAGTGTCAGTAGCAAGTACGCTCAGCGCTATTCAGCATGACAGCCGTACACCAGCTCTGGCCAAGGAAAATTGAATACTAAATGACACAAATCGTATTTTTTATTACTCGTGCATCTGCTTGAAAATTGGGGAGGGAGCGTCTCTCATAATCGTATGGTGGTTTGGGACGTCGAACCCCACATATAAATCAAAATTGGGGAGGAGGGGCAGGTTTGCTTACTGTCGTAGATATTTTTAGTTAAGGCCCTGCAAGCACTAGTCGATGAATATTTCGGCAAAATGGCTTAAACACCCAGTGTAACCACCAAGTGGTATGGTGAAAAGAAAGGACCATTTTAGGTTAAAGGAAGCCAGTAGAAACATAATTCTCGAGCGTTTGCCGATTCACTGCACAGAAAACGTGCATGTTGGAGACTGAAGGCTCGGATGCTAGACGCCTGCTTTGGATGTGTACTGGAGCATAGCTGATCTGACAAAGCATATTATTAAGGAAACACATGCCTTTCGAAACGAACTTTCTTGTTACAGGTGGGATATTGATGAAAATTGGCTCAGACACTACAAATTGCGTTACAGTGCTTCCATAAAAGCTTCGAGGCAATACTTCAAAAACTTAATGAGACAAATTATTTCTTCATTAAAGCTCGTGGAGGGGCTGGAGGATTTATAAAATGACAAAAGTACAGTAAAACCTCATTAATTGGAACTCTGTTATTTCAAAATCGCACTTATTTCGAAACATTGTAGCGGTCCCGTACTTTTAAGTGTAAATCTGAGTGGATAATTTGAAGCGGCAGTCAGTACCAGCCTGGTTAATTTGAAAACTTTGGGTGTCATGTGCAAACTCGGAATTCCCGATACAGATTTTTCCGCAGATCCCTTGAAACGACGGCCCTTAAGAGCGATAAGGCAACACAATGTAGTGATACAAATAAGTCTCAGCTGAAGCCCTCCAGCTTCGCTACTTCAGGCTCGTAAAGAGAAGGAAAAAAAAAAAAAAAAAAGTTGCTTGGTCAATCAAAATGTGTGCCTGCGGAAAACAAGTCGCACTTCACTGCAGCACAATTCTGACGCGCAAGCAGCATATTGCGTTTTTCTCTCAACGTCAGCGTGTCATGATTTATTTCTTCATTCTTTCCGGGTTTGTAAAGAACCTAATGAGAGACAGTTAGGTGGAATTCGTGATGTCTGCAAATCTTCGATTGCAAATTGCTGGAGCAACCGGCACACTTGCACTGCGGGCAGAGTTCTTGCCTGCAACACTTGGTTCGAAAACTCTATTCGAAAGCTTCAAAGATGAAACACATTGCCAATTCCGCCGTACTGGCCATCAATAAATTCTTAATTGCACCAAAAGCAATGGGAGAATGGTAGCATGATGACGTGCTGACGCAGCCAAGAGCATGTGATATGCTGCCCGGATGTCGCTACTGTGTTGCAGAGAAGTGTTATTTTTCACAGGCTAGCATTTCAGTTTATCACGACAATGCTATTATTTTGTTATTGTTTTTCGGTGGCAGCATTGAGCCCCGACATTCCTTCGTGCTTGAGACAAAATAAAGACGAGGTACTGCTGAAAAACATTACCATGGAGCTGCAGACTAGCCGGCACAGCAAACAATGATCCCCGGTTACTTCGAATGATTTCAAGTTCCTTGCATCCTTTTTTTTGTATGTTCTGTCAATTCGAAAACCTGCTTAATTCGAAGATTTCTTGCAGGCCCAGTGACTTCAAATTAACGAGGTTTTACTATTGTTGGTAATTACTGTAGGCACAGCCAAATCTGTGCTGAAGGGGGCTGGGTTTTCAAAACAAATTTTTTGAAACACTAGAACTTGTAGTGAACATTTTCTCCAGTGACACTGCAATGAGCACGATTGCACTACAAACAAGAAACCCTACAAAAAATTCTTTAGGGAGTAAAATGAAAAACTAAGAGTTTAGTCCCCTGAAGCGCAGTTCAAGGAGCGTTACGAAACAAATGGAATCAAAATCTGTGCAGTGGTTGCAGAGATATCTGCTCCACGAGCTGAGCATAATGCCAAAAAAAGCAGTATTGAGAAAACTGTGTTTGAAGTTTCACCTTCTCTTTACATCTCCAAAGCTCCTAAGAACTGTGATCTTAGGTCTGTCTTGTGATATTTGCCTTCTCGGGCATGTGGCCACTGCCCAGTGTGCCTTTGTTGCCTATAAGTATTTTTTTTTCATAACCTTTTTTTTTTCTACAAAGAACAAGTATGGATTTCAAACCAAGTTCTCTGTATGAAGGAGTGGTGTGATAGTAGGCATGACAGAATAGATTGTAATTGAATAAGGCCATATACTGAAATGATTACATTTTTTTGTGTTTAAGCTCTCATTAGCATTATTAGGTACTTCATGATTGCAAATAATAACTGAACATTTTTTTGTGTAGAGAAGTTCATTGCATAAGAAAAATGGCTAGCACCATGACAGCCTAACCTTCTTTCCAAATAACGAATGTTTATGGGCAGAAAACTGGTTGTACAGGAATTTTTAGCAGTTCATTTAATGACACGAGTCGGGCATAAAAAAATTCATGCTCCTGCTTTTTACATACTCTGTGCCACTAGCCGTGAAGCGCATCATCATACGGCCGGTCGCGGAAATGCTAATCTACAAGGTTTTTGTTGTCTCTGAACATTCATAGACGTCTGCGGCGATACCAAGCAAGGCTCCAAGCATGTCTAAATTGCATCGCAAAAGATTATTGGCAGTCCTCCATAAGACCGGGAAGTGTGCGGCCGCGTGGACAGCACAGCCAGCGCGTGATGCACTTGCCGGCGGTGTTCGGTGACGATGTGTGAAATGTGTACCTTTGATGACAAAAAAAAAAAAAAAAACTGGTGTGCAGTGCCCTTGCTATCGAAATTTCGAATGCCGACGGGCAAAACTCCGCTGGCAAGTGTAAAATGGCTGTATGCGGTTTCAAGGAGCTAGCAAGTGATGTGCTTCATTGTTTGCTAAGAAGCATGTTGCCACGAGTATGCTAGCGCGCCGTTCTTGCTCGCAAAGTTAGTCTCGCCGTAAGCGGAGTTAGGCCTAAAGACAACTACGATTACGTGCCGCGCTCGTAGACCACGCGTGCTTGTAGTAATCTGATTGAGCATCCGCTTACAGCTCCTAACTAAAGCGCAATTAGTATATCCTAAGTGATAGTTGAGCCCTGAATATGTCGCGAACTAGCGATTTTTGACAGCCATATCGTCGCGACGCACAAGCAGCAGATGACAATCTCCTGGAGCGAGCATCTGGCCAATAGTGAAGTGAGCTGGTGCAACATGGCGGCCACAGCCTATAAGGGGCCTCAAAATGACCTTCAAACGTTTGCTTTTCGTGCGCTTGTTTTTAAGAGAAGCCAGCTGAGGCGGAAAATTTGAACACGTCAAAATGCTCTTTCCTACGAGCCCAAGAAGCCGGCTCCCGGCGGCGCCAACGTGAAGCTACAATTTTTTGAAAATCGCTGTTTTCTCGTCATTTCCAGAAAAATTTTTCCAGCCCAGGAGGGTGAAAGTACTTTCTGAAGTACTTCTGCGCAGTTTTCAGTGTAGATATTTTGGAATCTGATAGAAAAAGGGTTCCAGGAACTGATGACTTGATTTTCAAAAAAATGATTTTTTTGCCATTTTTCTCTATACAAAAGCAGTGTCCTCCCTTAAGAAAAACTGAAGTTTGTGTCTTCATTACTGCTGTTCTAACACGAAGC